GGAGGGGGTGAAGGGCGCACAGGTAATGGGGAAAAAATAAGAACCAAGATATATCATGTACAGGTACAAGCACCCAATGATAAATGTAAACGTACTGTATACCTAAAATGTACCAATAAAAGAATTAAAAAGAAAAAAAAAAGACTTTTAAGTAAAGAAAAAGGAGTAAAGAAGAAGGAAGTGAGGAAAGAAGACAGAGGTGGAGGAAAGGGGGACAGAGAGGAAGGAGAAAAGAATGAATTAGGAAAGAAAGGAGGAAGGAAGGGAAGAATAAAAGAAAGTAAACAGGAGGAGGGAGAAAAGCATAAAATTATTCATTTCAAAACAATGCAATTAATCTACTACTTAATTCCATCACACAGAGAGTCATCCTCTCTGGCCAAAATTCAATAAACTATATTCTCTAACAATAAACAGAAGCAAATCTAATACATTTCAGACTTTTTACCATTTATAACCTCACTGTTTGTTGAAGGGCACATTTCCAATCAGATGATACCCTGATGTCTCTGAATATTCCTCTTAATTTGATACATTTAAAATGTTTAGTTTAAACCTTCCAGTTTTTCCTAAATGGAGAAAAATTCCTTTATCTGAAAGAGATCATCTCATAATTTAAAATTGAGTTGCTTAAAGTGACTTGTATTTAAATTTCAACATCTACTTACTGACACCTACCATAAATTAAAATTTTTATTTAAAATACAGTAATAAATGTCAGAGATTTAGCTCAGTGGCACCGGGTCTGCCTCTGAAGAGCAAGGTCATGAGTTTGATTCCCCACTACCAAAAAAAAAAAAAAAAAAAAAAATACAGTAATAGCTGGACATGATAGTTCATGCCTATAATCCCAGCACTCCGGAGGCTGAGGCAGGAGGACCGCAGCAAGTTCAAGGCCAGCCTGGGCTACATAGTGAGTTCAAGACCAGTCTGAATTACATAGCAAAAAAACTAAAAATAACTAAATGACAGTAATTGTCTCATGCCATTGTCTCTCCATAATTAGGCTTAGTCTGAGGAGAGGGGCTTTTCTGTTTTGATCTATTTCCAATTGCAAGACTCTAAAGTTGAGTGGAGGAGTGAGTATGACTTCACCTGGGCTGTCAGTCCAGCTAACGAGTGGGAAGACACGGGAAGTCCTATTTTCTGGGGTGTAATCTCCTAAGACTAGAAACCCAACGGGTGTTTTGTGGGCTTAATCTTTTCTTGTTTTTCTTTGCTGAGCTGGGCCTCGAACCTAGGGCCTTGCACATGCTTCATCTTACACTAAGGCCATTTGGTGGAAGACAATTTGCTGGCATCTCCAGAGACTGTGGAGACGCCTAACCACTTGGTAGTTGAGTACAGGAGCAAAATGGAGGCAGAATCACAGATGTTTGCTCCATTGCTCGTTTTTCAAATGGCCAGGTTTTTTAGGTAGCTTTAAAATTTTCCCTCACTGAGGTCTAACAGTGGGACCAGGAAGAGCCCACGCCGCCGCCGCCGCCGCCGCCGCCGCCGCCATCATCACCACTCCCACCACCACCCCCCTCTCCACACCCCGTCTTGGGCTTTTCGCGGGCGCCTGAGGGGGCTCTGGCTCAGGTTTTCCTTCAGTCCTTGCTGGGGTTGGCAACCTCTCCCGGGCCTGCGCCCTGTGCTGAGGGAGACAAGGAAGGAAGAGCTGCACCGTCCCCCTGCGAGTCTTGTCCTCCACCTCCGGCAAGAACGGCTTTCCCAAGGTTGCTTTGTCAGGTGCTGCAGGACCTCAGCGTCCCAGGAGCCAGCAAAAGAAAACAGTTTGGGTCCACTCTGACGTTCCAGGTCCCAGCTTCACAGGCTGGTCACCCCCGTGGTTTAGCACGCGTAGGGCAGCAGAGGGGCTCCCCCTACTGAACCGCAGCCTGAGAGGAGGGGCGTCAAAATAAGGGAATAGCAACATACAGTTAGGACCTGGAGCGAGGCAGCGGCCACAACCCAGTGGACAGAGCACTGTGGGCACACAGGGAAAATAACACCTCCGCGGATACAGCAAGACACAGAGTGAGGAGATGTGGCTGCTGACGTCGAAGTCCACCAGTGACAATGGCAGCCTGTTAGAGGACAAGCCCGGGAAGTTTTCCAGCTGAGTCCTTGTTCTAGGAAACTAGCCTGAGCTTTCCATTCTCTGCAGGAAGCCAGGGAATTGCAAGCGGGAGCAGGAGGAATTTTCCAGAACTCACCACAAGGTGGCGCCAGACACCCGTGGACGTGATGAGGTGCTCCCGTCCTAGTGGGCTCAAGAAGCTGTGGATGGGAATCTAACCAATGAGAGATTCAAAGGAAACCGAGAATTCTGCACCCACAGAAAATCACCCTAGGCAAAGGATAAAATAGAGCACACAAAATATAACAAAAGATACTTTTTTTTTTTAAGAGACGGACGAGTACCACAGAGTCTATACAGATTCTGAAATCCTTCTTTATAGGAACTCAAAGGAACTTTGCCATGGAGACTCTTGGCAGGACAGACACAGGCAAAGGTGGCCACACTGGAAGTGGAGTGAATGACCGTGAGAGGCTGTTACAGGCCTCGAGGTGGCAGGGGATGTTGGCTGGGGTCAGGGGCCAGGGATTGGTGATAAAGGGGGAAATGCCTCTGTCTGATACATTGGTGCAATAAATAAATCAACAAGCCCAACACAACTGAATAGCAAGTAGAAATATTGTACATTCTATTCTATTCATTTTTGGGAATTCACTTTGTCATCTTTGGCTCTTGTCGAGTATCATTATGGGTGGATAACTTCAAATTTATTGTATCAACTGATGCCAGACAACATCCCCCTGATGCTCACATTGTCTCACTGCTGGCCAACAGGAGCCCTTTTCAGATTGGTTATGGATAATTTTGAATGAGCTATTTAAGCTTTTTGTTTTCTGATCCAACAAAGTGTAGATATTCTAGAATATCTTGTATCTTTCAGCTCAAGATAGGACTTGGAATTAGCCACGGCTCTAAGAACTTTTGGCTTCTTTAGAGAAAAAATAGTATTGGAAATGAAAATCTGGACATTAGGGTACACAGAATGGGTGGCATTTCTTCTGGGCCATTTTAGTGAGAAAAAGCCAAAATACATTTAAAGTGTATAGAGCCCTGACTTCATATTAACTCGTTTGACTCAGTTAACAGTACACAGTTCTTATTCAGACTTTGGGGTCTACAGTGAAAAGAAGGTCTATAGTGGTACTTCTTTTCACTCATCCTGGAATCTAGGTTCCTAATAAACAATTATTTGCTTTGTCTGATAACTTAGGAGACTAACTTTTTTTAAAATGTGCTATCAGTGGGCCGGGGATTTAGCTCAGTGGTTCCACCGCCTGCCTTGCAAGCACAAGGACCCGAGTTCAAGCCCCTGTAGTAAAAATAAAATAAAATAAAATGTCCTATCAATACAGACAGTACAAACACTGAGTAAAATATTTGTTCTAGACAGCATACCCCTAATTATTTGTTGTCTAATTACTGTGTTCTAGAGTCATAATCTCACATCACATGGCTAGGCAAGGACTTATCTGACAGTTTGGATGCAGATGTTTGCATTTACCTTGACTTTGAGAAGTCTGCACAATCTGCCCCTTTTCATTTCTCCATAAGGCTTATAAACTCCCAATATGCTAGATAGTTCACTTAATGATAATAATTCTTTTTATTATTATGTTATTAGTATTTTCCCCTTATCCCATTAGAACATCAGCCTCATGGAGCAGAGATTTGCTCATTGGACCCTGGTGTTTTTCCCTGAAGGCAGGATAAGAAAGCTGGACTTGGTTCTGGGGAAGCTCTGAGGTGGACAATAGCAAGGGCCACGGGGGACGTCTTCACTGAAACAGCAGAAGCCACCTAGGTCACTCCCTCCAATGCTTCTCCCAGTGTCCATGGTACACAATGACAATCTGTGAAGAGAAAGCCAGCGTTCATGCTGAACCTGCTCCTGGGCCTCATAACTGAGCACCTGGAAGGTTTAAGCTTCCAGAAGAAGGTTGAGTTCCTCTGTAGCTTATGACTAGGATGACCAGGTTCCTGGCTTACCTAGATAAGGCCCAGTTGCAGCTGTTGTCCTGTTACCACAAAATGCACTCTGTCTACTCATGAAAGTCTCCAAGCTTAGAGATAGGAGACAGGGATAATTAAGCTGGAGAGGAAGCTCCAAGAGAAAGAGTTAGCATCTGTGGAGGAAGCAGCCCCTCAATCATCAGTGCTTAATGTCTGGTGCATGGTTGGGGATATGAGAAGACAACAGAAAAATTGAGAGAAATTTCTAAGTACCTACATAGGCCAGCAAAAATGAATGGACTCTCGTCCGAGATTCCAGCAGAGGGCTTTCAGGGCTCATTTATTGGTTCTGGGCATGGGCAGGGTGACAGAGAAATACCTCCAGGGTGAAGGGGCAGAGAGGAAGAAAGTACAAAAGTGATGACCCATATAGTAGCAGTATAGTCTTTATTTTTGCAAACTGAACATATGTTTCCAGTTCAGGTGAAATTCACACACTCTTCATAAAAAAATTAACACAGAAACATACAAAATGGTACAACGGCAAGATCTTCAGCAATCTCCTAACCTGGGAGAGAGTCTTCCCTTTGTCTATCGAGACTCCACCTGGTGGAGCTAGGGTGGCTGGCCTCTGTCTCCAAGAAGGAAACGCCTAGCTGAAGCAGTTAGCTGTCTCCACCACAGGCTGGTTGAAAGAATGCAGGAAGTGGCAGTGGGGACAAACCAGTGCAGAAGCTCCTGAGCTGGGAGGGGTCGGGGCTAAAAAACAAGGTGCAGGCCTTGCTCATCAGTCTCTCATCCCTCAAGAAACTCCTCCTTCCATTCCTTCTCTGATGGTGGCTCTTCTTCAGCTGACGGGAAGAGAAATGGGCAGAGCTTCCAGAACTGGGCTTGGGATGAACAGCCTGGAAGGAGCTGAGGATCCCTGAGCGAGCTGTTTTAGGAAAAGAGGGTCCCCGTGGATTTCCTGTGGACAGAGGCCTCCAGAAAGCACCCAGGAGCACCCTGGCCAGGAGAAGCAGATAAGCAGCAAAGTTGGGGTTCTTGTGCACTGAGGCTGCCCCCCACCCCGACCCCAGGCAGCCGGTGGCTGTGGACTCCCAGGGTGTGGCTATTGCAGAGGACTCAGACTGCTCCTCCCTTGCTCCAGCTGCTACCCAGGGTCACCCCACTCTCCTTCTCAAAGGTGTCCTTTTGGTTTTTCTGGACTCAAGGCTGACAATGTAACTAAATCCCTGGGGATCACTCTTTTCCATGAACCAAAAGGATTACCTGGGGAGATCCCATTTCATTTCAACTCTGCCCTTTAGCAACTCCGCAGGACAAAGGGGCACAGCAAGGGTTGCACCTGTTGCTGATGTAATTCTGTGCTCCCATCGAGTTGTGCACATTTTACCTTCTGACCTCAGTGTGTACACACGACCCCAGCCCATGGTGTTCCACGGCTCAGTGTTTGTACACATCCTGTGTTCAGCGGGGCTGGGGTCTTCATCATGGTCACATGCTGTGGAGTTTGTTAAGTGCCACCACCTGGGCACAAGCACTGGGCTTGAAGTAGAACCAGCACTTGCTCCCATTCTCCCTTTCCTCTTCAGGGCGGGCCTTGATCACTCTCATTACACATTGCATCCTGCTCTCCAGAGGAGCTGAGTCTATGGCAGTGTCCAGGGCTCCTAGCTTCCCCTCAGCCCTGCAGGAGCCAGGTGTATGTGTAAGCACAGTCGAAGACAGAGAGCATCTGACAGGTGTGCTGTTAATCCCCATTACAGACAAGAAAATTGAGGCACAGAGGGATTAATCTCTCTCCCCAGAGTCACTCATCTGCAGAATGGCAGAGGTCACACCGCCTGACCCCTGGTCAGTGTTCTGCCCACCAAAGCTCTCTGCCCCAGACAGTTGCTTCTAGGCACAGACAGGCAGGTAAGCAGGTGCGCCTCAATTCTCCCATCCTTTGTCCATGAAGGAAAGAAACACAGCTCCCCTTCTTGAGTCCTGTGTCGTGAGATCAAGTTGTCAGCTCCTGACAGCCAGGCCCTTTCCCAAGGCTGCTAGATCCACGCCCGGAAGAGCTCCTCAGAAGACAGTACCTCCAGGGCACAGGCATCCACCTCTTCCCTTCTGCAGCTGATTAACTTCTGTGGTGAGTTGGTTATTTTCTGAAATTAATTTTTCACCAGCAATCATTAGATGTTACTAGCAGTAATAGCAGTGGTAGTAAAGAATATCACAAAAATCCCAACTAAGGAAAAAATCTGCAGTGTTTATGTTTATTTTTCAATTCTAGAGCAGTGCTGACCAAATGCAACACAATGGAAACTACATATATAGTTTTTTAAATCTAGTAGCCCATTTGAAAAAAATAAAGGGTTGGCCGGAGATTTAACTCAGTGGTTTCGCTGCCTGCTGCACAAGCGCAAGGACCTCAGTTCGATCCCCAGTACCACAAAAAAATAAATAAATAAAGGGCTGGGGATATAGCTCAGTACAAAAGCCATGTGTTCAATCCCCAGTACTAAAAAAAGTAAAAGGAATTAATTTTAATAAAACATTTATTTTGTTTGACATATATATCCAAAATATCACATTTACATCCAATCCAAAGAAATTACTGAAAGAGATCAAATTTTTGGTACTATCTTCAAAATCTCTTATCTTCAAAATCTGTTTATATTTACAACACATCTTGACTGGGGTAGCCACACTTCACCTCTTTAATAGCCATATATGACTAGGGGCTACCATATGGTGCAGCACAGTTCCAGAACATGAAAGATAAACAAGCAGCATCACTTCAGAAGACATACTGTTGTTGCACAGGTTAGAATTAACTTTCAAATGAAGCTCAGATGATTTTTTTAAAAATGTGAATTACTTTTCTCTTTTATTAGTAAAAATTAGTAGGTTTCATTTTGGCAATGAATTAGTTTTCAACATTCAAAAGGTGAGAGATTTCCCATAAAAATCTGGATTTCTGGGTTTATTGTTTAAAACTTGGAGATCTGGCATCAGTGGCTCACATTCCCTTTTAGTTACCAACTGCTGGAACTGGGAAGCTGCTGCCTCCTTTAGATGGAAATGTTCTCTCTGGGCACCATCACATCTCCCTGTTGAGTTGCATTCATTGTGCTGCACATTTCATTTCTTTTTTTTTTCTTTCCCAGTGCCTATCTAGCCCAGAAGCCAGAGCTCACAAACCCTACTTTCTGTGAATCCTACAAGGCCATACTTGGGATGGTCTACTGAAGAATTACTAGCCTGGGGCCACTGCTATTCTTGCTAGCTACATTAGAGTGGAATATAACAGAAGGAAGAAAAAGAATAAAGTTAGTCACAGAAAGAAAAAAAAGACCCTTTAGCACCAAAGCCCCCATCTCCATGGAGCAATTATGGATAAAAGAAGAAAAAAATATTTTTAAATAGAGATAAAATTAATATGATTTTCCTTGCATATATAGTCTTACTGCAGACTGTTACTTGGTGCTATAAACTTTAATGGAAAGAAAATCTTCATAGTATATTTCAGAGTGCAGCCATGACCGGCTATAAAATTATAGATGCAGACATGTAAGGTTTCAGCCACACAGGTAAATTAAATACAAACTTGCTAAGATTTGCTGAAAAATTGTCAAGGATTTCTAATTGGTAATTTTCCATGGTCTAATTGGAAAGATGAGCAGATTTTGTAAGGATGCCTAGAAATCAGTTTTGAATCATTTGGAGGATTATGTACAAGTAATGCAATACTGGAATGCAGAGAGGCTGTGCTAGAGTCGAGGCAGAGAGGGAGATGGCAGTGGTAATTTACCACTCCTGAATATGTTTGGGATTTCATAAACACTAATGATTTATCTCTCATGTAACATTGTGGGAATATGCATAGACCAGAGAATTTGTCCACTTTAAAAATCTAGAAAACAGAATAAAAGTAAAAATCCTTATGAAAAGGAGTGCATAGGAAAAGACATCAGAATGATGTAGGAGGGATGGCAAAGGAGAACAGAGAAGCAAAACGTGGCCAAGGGTGGTGGTATCAATCAACTGGGGATAAAATTGTTCACACTGTTATAGAGTCTTCTTGTCTCTGGCCTCTTCGAAGCTTTTGATTTTCTCCAAAAACTGATTTTAGACAGTAGTTCATAATGTACTAGCATTCCTAAGAGTTCTTACCAGTTTTTACCTCCTCTTATAGACCTGAAATCCTATAAAAATTTGACCTTTTACACATATTTGTTTTTTTGTTTCCTGCCTCTACTCTGTTACTTACTAAGAAGGCTGCAGGTCTTGGGAAGTTCTTCATATTCCTGGCACTGAGAGGAAAAACTCTCCTGGGTCCTTGAATAAAGGACAAGAAGAGGGAAAGTGAGGGAGGTGTTAGGAATGTAACAGCCTATGAGTAGAAGGCTAGCATGGGCAATCTGAGTTAAGAGAGGAATCACAAAGGGTTACTAACTGGTGGAGCCTAGTTGTAGAAGGCTGACATTTTCACCACATACGGGGCAAAAAGAGCTAATGATCTGCCTCAGCCAGGAGTATTCTTCTACTGCTATAATAACTTTGGATTAGTTCACAGATCCCTCTTTCACTGCAGGTTTCTGCTTCTACTATGGCAGAGGAGCACCAAACAGATCGACCTTCATCAAATAACAGCTTATTTATTTATTTATTTATTTATTTATTTTGGTATGAGGGATCAAACTAGAGACCTTGTGCTTGTGAGGCAGGCGCTGGAACCACTAAGCTAAATCCCCAGCCCAAATAACAGCTTTTAAAACTGACCAAAATATAAACAGATTCCTTTAGTCATTAGAGGGCAAACAAAAATTGACATTAGGAAAAAGGGAATGTAACTGGGTGATTGCCCCTCTTTTTAACAGCTCCTTGCCTGGGGACAGGTCCCACTTGGTACCAAGAAGAGTGTCAGTCTTATTGTCTTGAAAAACAGAAAACAGAGATTTGTACAAACATAGAAGTTAGAAAGTTGAAAGGACAAATCCCCAAAGGGGGAGAGCCAGACTAGGAGCTACATATTTTACATACAAATTCTATCCTTCCTGAACTGTGTACAGGAAGGTGTGGGGCAAACCCCAAATAATCCAGCCAGGGCCAAACAGACCAACAGTTACCAACAGTCTTTTGCATAGGAGACCAAGGGTTGGAATTTACATTCATCCATGTGAGCTCCTTACTAAAACAGCAAACAAATAAAAACCAACAGTCTTCAGTGAAATATAATAGAATCTAAAATCTCTATAACATATTGTTCACAATATCCAGAATACAATCCAAAATCGTTAGACATTAAAAAAAAACAGGAAGGCCCAGGGATTTAGCTCAGTGGTTCCGCCACCTGCCTCTCAAGAAGAAGGACCTGAGTTCTATCCCCCGTACCAAAAACAAACAAACAAATAAAAAAAAAAACAGGAAAATGTGACTCATACCAAATAAAATGCAATAAACAGAGACCAATCTTGAGATGGCCACCTAGAAAAAGTACCAAAAATTTACCAAATTTTTAAAAAGTAGTCAAAGTATTATAATTAGAGGAAAATATTCTCATCACTAATGAGTAAATAAAAAAAAATCTGTAGAGAACATTCATTATAAAAAGAGCATAATGGAGATTCTAGAATTGAATTTAAAAATGTAAAATTTTTAAAAATACATTAGATGTGCCTAATATCAGATTAGTGACAACAACAGAGTCAATGAAGTAGATAGGTTAATAAAGTTACTCAACTGTAGAACAGAGAAAAAAGTTTCCTTTATAAAACTGAATAGAGCCTCATGAATGTGTGAACTGTTTCTAAAGGTCTAGCAATATCAAATTGGAGTCACAGTAGGAGAGAAGAGAACAGAAAAACTATCAGAAGATATATGGCTGAAAATGTCCCAAACTATGCTGAAAAATGTAAATGTATAAATTCAAGAAATTCAATAACTACAAGCAATGTAAATATAAAATAAATAATACTGAGCCATATTATAGTATAACTGATGAAAACCAATGGTAATTTGAAAGTAACAAGAGAAAAAAAACATACAGTAAGTCTCTACTTACAAACATTTGAGTTACAAATTTTCATGGATATGAACGGAACTCACATAAGGAACATTTGTAGATGCCAACAAATTGTGGAAGTAGCTCATATATCTGCCAGATATTGTCACCAGTTGTGCTGCTATGTGCTTACTGTACAATGAGATAGTGTATAGTAGTACAGAACAATCAGGGACTTACTGTACTTGTGTGTGTTTGGTTTTTATATGCTTTACATTGTATATTTGTGTCAATAAAAAAAAAAGGTGTATAAGACTCACTTTGTTGGCCTTACAAACAAATCTGATCTATGAATGTTCTCCTGGAATAGAATTTATTTGTAAGTTGGGGCCTCACTGTATTTTATAGAAGGGAACAATATGAAAAACTATAGCTATTATCAGAAATAATTAAACTGAAGATAATTAAACAACAGTTCTGAAGTATTAAGAAAAAAATTATTATCAACCAAGAATTCACTAAAAACATCCTTCAAGAATTAAGACAAAATAGCCTTTTTACATCAGAATTTGCCACCAGCGAATCTACATTAGCAAACCTGTGAAGTTTTCCAAAGTGAAGGAAGCCATACTAACTGGAAATATAGATCTCAGGAAAGAAGAAAGAATGTCAGGAATGGTAAATATATGGGTAAATGTGGATGACTATTTTAATTATCTTTTTAAAACATGAATATTTAAAAAAGTAATTGCATGCTCTTACTTTTCATGTAGAGCGATACAATTTTAATTCTAAGAAGGCTGTAAAATCTCCTTAATAACATGTGTATTGTAATTCCCATAGTGATTATGAAAAAAAGTAAAGGATAACCAGAAAGTCAATAGGTGCAGAAAAATTCTAAAATTCTATATTTACTTAACCCAAAAAGAGAAAAATTAAAAAACAGAAAAAGCAGATGGAAAAAACAAAAAATGAAATTATGGACTTATATCCAACCATATCAATCATTATAGTAATGTTAATGAACTAAACATACCAATAAAAATGGCAGAGATTATCAGAATTGATTTATACCAAAAGAATTAAAAATAGAAAAGTGGACCATTTGCTATCTATAAGGACATAAGAGAGATTTAAAGTAAAAATATGTTTTAAAATGGTATACCATACAAACAGTAAACAAAAAAAGGGCTATATTTATATAGCAATAAAGAATATTACCAGAGATAAAGAACATCATATTACAATGCTACAAGAGTTACTCAGGAAGACATATAAATAATAAATGCACTTAAAACAGAGCCTCAAAATACATGAAGGAAAAACTGACATAAAGGAAGAAACAGACACCTCCACACACATAGCTGAGATTTTGACATCCTTCTTGCAATAATTAGTAGAACTACTATACAAAAAATCAGGACAAAAAGTCAATGACAAACATGGATCAATGTACAAGAAGTGATCAAAAAATGTGATTTTTAAAAATCTTATTACAGTAAAAGACACATTGCCAAGAACGATAGGATAAGTGTGTTCTAAGTGAGAAGAGGTTTTTTTTCTGGTACTGAGGATCAAACTCAGGACCTTGCACTTGCAAGGCAGGCGGAGGAACCACTGAGCTAAATCCCCAGCCCCAGGAAGAGGTATTTTGAGGGTGATTAATGGCTTTTACTATAATAATTTTTTACTATAATAATTTTTTTTTTATTTAAACTTTTACCATATATTTTGACCACCACTCAGCATGTAAATCCTTAGAGTGATCCTGGCACTTCGCTCTGTACCAGGGTCAGTTAATGTTCCAACTACCTGGAGAACTGAGGAGAAAAGAAGAGCAGGCATTAGGACAGCAGGGTGGACAGATATCCTGAGACCTGGACTGCAGGGAGAATTATTCTTCTGTGTAAAGAAAGCAGAACCACACAGGTGACACAAGAGTGACCTTCCAGTGACTGATAAGAGACTACAGGAGTGGGCAACTTCAGTTCTGGCTAAAGCTAACTGCTGGCTCCCTAAGGGTGAGAAACTCCTGGGGTGGCAGGGATGGAGGGGGTTGTTTTTGTTTCCATTTACTTTTGCTGTTGCTTTGTTTCATTGTGCTGCTCTCTGTGGTTGAGGGCAAGGGGACCATCTGAGAGGCAGCCAGATTGAAGGTGTAGAAGATGCTACAGCCCACGTTTGCTCTTCTTCTGCAACAGACTAGGCACACAAGGCCTATGCCCACCCAGATTTGTAGTCCAGTGTTCTCAGGAGAAAGATAAGAATCCTGCTGTTAACTAGGCAATGTGGTTTACGCCTGTAATCCCAGCACTTTGGAGGCTGAGACAGGATCGCTGCAAGTTCGAGGCCAGCCTAGACTACATAGTGAGTTCAAGGTGTGCCTGAACTACATAATGGGACTCTGTCTCAAAAAAACAGCAACAAAAATCCTGTGTTTAGCCAGGCATGGTGGTGCACGCTTATAATCCCGGCACCCTGGAGGCTGAAGCAGGAAGATTGCAAGTTTAAGCCCAGAGCCTGGGAAACTTAGCAAGAACCTGTCTCAAAATAAAAAATAAAAGAAGGGCTAGGGCTATAGCTCAGTATGCAGGCCTTGGGTTAAATCACCAGAACTGCAAAAACAAAACAAAGCAAAGCAAAAAAGAATCCTGGGCTTATGAGGAACTGGGAGTACAGGTGGGAACCCTCAGTCTTCAGTAGTCACTCTGAAAGTACATATTGCGGCTCCCTTACCACACCCCACCCTACCAAAGCCAAAACATAGTCCATGCTTCCCACATGCATATGCATGTTCTTTGCCATGAAAATCACGTTGTTCTTGGTATACGAATCAAATATGTGGTATCATGGGCCAGGGATTTAGCTCAGTGGTTCCTCCTCCTGCCTCGAAAGCACAAGGTCCCAACTTCGATCCCCAGTACCAAAAAAAAAAAAATGTGGTATCAGAATATGTTATTGGATATTGCTGCTGTTACACTTATGAGATGGAGCCAAGAATGCTCAGCAGAACGTTATCCATAATTCCTAATATCTTGATCATGCCAGGTCCTGGGGAAAACTACAGGTTGCCTGCTAGGAACCTCAGGGAGGTCCCCCTGCCCTGAAGAAGGGAGGTATCTCCTAACTTCTCTCATTAGAAGTGGCTTGAATGTATTTCCCTAGAAGCAGGTGTTGGAAACTGAATCACCAATGCAACTGTGTTGAGATGGGGCCTTTGAGAGGTAAATAGGCAATGAGAGCCCTGCCCTTCATTAATGGATTAATACAGAGTATAGAAGGCCTTGAGGCTGCAAGTTTGATCTCATGCTCTCTCACAAACAAGTTGCCATCTGCCATGTTATGACAGAGCAAGAAAGCCCTCACCAGGTGTGGTCCTTCAATCTCAGGCTTCCCAGCCTCTGGAACAGTAACCCAAATGAATTTCTATCATTTATGGTATTCTGTTACAGCAGCACAAATGGACTAAGACAAAAGTCCTACAAATACTCTTCTCCCATGTCTGCAAATCTCCACAAACCCACAAAAGTGTGTTCATGCCCATCTAAGGCCCCAGATATATCTGGTCAGTATTATGCTGAAAGGAAAGAGACATGGTATTACCAAGGTGTCTGGGAGGACCACCATGGGGCAACAGGAGTACTGGAGCAGCCGGCCCATCTTCCAGATGGACAGTGGCACAACCACGAGGATCAGCATGAAGCCAACAAAGGCAAACAGGGCCAGCATCAGGGGAAGAGCTTCTCCTGGAGACAAAACAGCAAGAACAGGCTTAGGAACAGCTGTGAAGGGGAAACCGCCACATTCCGGGCCTCCTCTGATTCCCTGGAGTTGGCTCTGCATGTTGGCCAAGGCAACAGATGCCAGCACCCTGGGATTTGATGTGTGCCCTGGTGACTAAAATTATCACCATTTTCTTAGGATCTAGATTAAGGCATGGTTTCTAGAAAGCCCCAGGGAAGATTAAAATCTCTTTCTTGGGAAAGGGAAGGGAGGAGCATAGTATGTGAAGGCACCAGCCTAACTTAGCATCCACCTGGCCCAGCTGCCAGAGGAAGGCAGGGACCAGGCCCCAGGCAGGATGGGGGTGAGGGTGCTGAAGCAGAACAGCTCAGAACCAGGATGGGCGGTAACTGAAAACAAAGCATTTTACAGCTTGCTGTTGGCACTGATTCATATTATGGAGGAAAATACTGAGTCCAGAAAACAGTTGCCTAACAACTATGCTAATCAATCCCCTATTCAGCCGCTAGGGCTACTGCCTCCTTCCAGCTCTGTGCTAGGGCTAGACATGAGGGACACTGTTTCCAAAACTAGTTTGAGTACCCCTGCTTTTACAGAAGAAACAGATGATGGCTGGATGATTAAACACCAAACTTGCCAAAAGAAACCTCCTGAGTGCTGTTAAGGAAGAAAGGAAAATATTTAACTTTTACTTTTTTATACTTCCATATTACTTAAATTTTTAAGCAAGTTTGGTGTGATTTTTAAAAGTAGTATGAAAAGGTGGTCAGAAAATCTGCATGGAAAATGTCATGAAAAATTTGTGAAAAACGTGAATAATGCTTATATGCTTTAGTACTACAGCACATGTCTACACATGGGCCATGACTAAAGGATTACATTCTTTTTTTTGGAGGTCAATTTGGAAACTGATCAAAATTAAATGCACAGGCCTGTGACCAAGCCACTCTACCTCCTGGAATTAATTTATCCTTCAAATATATATATATATATATATATATATATATATATATATATATATCAGCAAAATAGTCTCTGTTCAAGGGAAATAATTACTGCATTGGCTGTAATGATAAAATATTTAGAAATAACCTAAATCCTATCAACAGGGGACTAATTACCTTGATCATAATGCATATACACAATGGAATAGTATGCAGCAAAAAGGATGAAGGAGTTTTCTTATTGATATGGAAAAATCTACAAGATACATAAAGTGAAAAACACAAGATTCAGAAAAATCCATTGGGTATGCTCCCATTTATGCTAGAAAGAAGGAAATTTATTAAATATATTATCATTTAGTTGTATATATTAAACCATTAATAACCCTTCAGAAGGATATAAAAGAAGCTTATACCCATAGGAGAGCATGTAGGAATTACATGGATGGGGAGAGGAGTAGAAAAGAAAATTTCCATGTGCACCTTATATTTTTAAACCATATAATGTACTATTAAGGCCACTAATGTACTAGTAATTAAATTTTTAAAAAACTAAAATATAACTAGTTATTTTTGAATAGTATAATCACACAGTATAGCACTTTGTTTGATTTAGTTTCTTTTCAAAACGTTTTTAGATATTTTTTTTTGCCCTGTGGTACCAGGGATTGAACCCAGGACCTTGCACTTGCCAGGCAGGCATGGCACCACTGAGCCACATCCCCAGCCCATGTAGATTTTTTTTTTTTGGTACCCGGGATTGAACTCAGGTCCTTGCGCTTGCGCAGCAGGTGGCAAAACCACTGAGCAAAATCCCCCAACCCCCCATGTAGATTTTTTAAGTATAAAAAATTCAAGGGAAAAATAATAAGCAAGAATATTCTTAGACTCTCTATAGGTCCCTTCCAGATCAAAGAAACATATCATAATGCAGCATCTCTTATAAGACCTGACTCTGAAGCCCCCCAGCTGCCTCTCCTTCAGCCCTCTCTGGACCCAGGAAGAAACATCTGACCCCAGTGGAGGAGGCTTGGGGGAACGTTTTCCAGACAGCTGCTCTGGGAACCCCACCCAGCCTCAGGGTGGACCTCTGCCTCCTGGGGGGCCAGAGTGCCCTTCACACTGTCACCACAGGAACCCATCCAGCCTGGGGGCAAATCAGGGAAATCAAAGCACCCAGCAGACACCCAACCACACACCGAGGAGTCCCTGTGCCTGGGCCAGGGGACAGGCAGGCGACCCTTACCTTGCACCTCCACACACTCTTCCTGGCTGAAGGCACTGTTCCTCCCAATGGCCTTCACCAGCGCCTGGGCCTTTACGCAGTATGGGGCCCCTGGCTCCATGGTTTCGAGGGGCACAGGAATGCCCCCCCTCCTCACCACTTTGTCATGTTCCTTCAGGAGACCAGAAAACATGGTTACTCCCTGAGGGCAGCAGGACTACAAAGGTGGATGAGGTCTGGGGAGGGACAACTACAGGTAGTTCCTTTCCCTCTCATGAATCCATTCATTCATTTACTCATTCATCTTTGTTAAGACAGCAGGCACTGTTCTAGGCACCAGGACATGCAGTGAACAAAATAGACAAAGTCCCTCTTGTGGAGCTTACATGCCACAGGAGACAAACAATACATAAATAACATACAAATACATGTGAGATGGGCTGTGAAGGACAGGGCAGAGAGGAGAGACGAGGAGGCACAGTGTTTAACAGAGAGGGCTCGCCAACAGGACATTTGGGCAGAGTCTTGCAGGTCGGAAATCTGACTGAGCCAGGGCTTGGCATGGCCAAGGCTGCTAAGGGGTCAATGCACAAGAGCAGAGGAGCCTGCAGGCCATCCCTCCTCCCTCATCCATCTGTCCACCTGTCTGTCCAACCATCTGTCCACCCTCCCACCTCCACTTATCTACCCAAGGCCTGTGCTCTGTGACTGAGCCTGCAGAGGCTTGTCTGGGCCAAGCCCAGATGACTCAGGGTGCACACTCCTCTCTCACCACCAACCCTGCCAGTTGCAAGAGTGGGGAGTGGGCTCCATCCCAAAGAATCTGAGGGAGCTACATCCTCTCTCCCACTAGGCCCTGGCCTGTCTCCCACACCACTCCATCTGCCTGGTTGGCAATGCCATGTCTTACCCGTGGGTAAATGTGGGACTCTTGTGTTATTGCCTGCCCCACCTTCCAGGGGATGCTACCCAACCTACAGCCCCTGTTAAGTGGGGGAGGGGGAGGCATGTGTACTGCCCTCAGACACTCCTATGATGAGGGATACATCCACCCTGAGAAGGATCCAATCAAGGCAGCTAGCTACATGCAACCCCTAAGGCTTAGGCTGGTAAGATGAGCATGGACAATGGATTTCTTGCCTAAGAATTTGGTCTTGTGAAACTGAATACCTCAAGCTGCAAGTGGGGATAAAGGAGAGAGGACATGGTGAGGGGCATCAGGCTGAGACACTTAGTTATAGGAATATGTAGGAAGGAGTGACAAGAGGAGAGACCCTAGGAGTAAGCTTAGGAGAGGACCCCAGGAGCAGACCCAGCAGGAGACAAGGCCTTCTGTGTAGGTGAGGCTGTGCTGCTGCCTAGCTGAGAGCCTAGCTGCTCACAGAGCCCCTTATTGCATCACACTGATTCTTGCAAGAAATCAGGGCTTTCCATGTGCTGACTGGAGTGGGCCTTGAGGCCTTGTCACCATAGCAGCTTGGACAGGGCTCCACAGGTCTGAGTGTCCCCCAGTGCGTGATCAAGCTGTACCCCTTCTCTGCTGCTTGTCTGACTAACTATTGATGAGGGCTGGCATCCCACTCACCCCAGATTATAGTCACCTTCCCACGGGGAGGGGCAGCTCCTTTCTTGGCATTTTGGATGGCCCACCTGCTTGTAACTAGATTATTCATAAGACAGCTCCTGGCTCACTGCCCCCACTTCTACACCCCGCCAAGATACACACCCACAAGAGGCTTATACCAGCCTCATGTGCTTTTGAAATCATCCGGTTGATCTGGAATGCCCTGGCCTGGTGCCCCTAGGTGGCTGAGGAGACCAGCTAATGAGGGAAGGGAAGAAATGCATTTTAAAAATGTTATGGGCCCAACTAGATTAGAGTTAGGGGCCGGGGATTTAGTTCAGTGGGTCCGGTGCCTGCCTTGAAAGCACAAGATTCCGAGTTCGATCCCCGGTACCAAAAAAAAAAAAAAAAAAGAATAGAGTTTAGGACAAAAAGGCAGCCCCCAAACTTCAGCCTGAAATGTCCTCCAGCAAAGGCCTGAGATGAACCAAAGTAGTTCTTTGCACAAGAGCCCAGAGGATGGGTAGCATACTCTCATCTCTCCTTTCACAAACTTCACCCAAGATCTTCATCCTCAGGCCACCCAGACACTGAGCACTGCAGGACCCACCTTTCCTCACTCACACACAAAAAGCTATGCCTCCTTCCCCAGAGCCTGATTCATAGGCCAAGGTCAGAAGCCTCACCTTGGTGACCAGCTCCTTCCTCCAGTAGACCACAAGGAACTCAAACTGGGGTCCCAGGTCTTCCAGCTCAATAACCAGGTGGAAGCCGTCCTTGGAGACCTTCATCCCAGGCAGGGTAAGGATGGCTGTTGGCAAGACAAAGGGAGAATCAAAGCCAGCCCCACAGGACTGATTTCCCTGAGACATGCTGACCATGTCGTCGGTGGAAAGATGCCAGCACCTCCAGGGAAGGTAGGGCGTGAGCTGTAGCTTTTCAGAACATGATTACTCTCATACTCAGGAGGTGCTTGTAAAATATTTTTGAATGATGAATGAATGAATGAATGAATGAATGAAAAACAAATGCCAACTCCTTTTTTCAACTCTTACCTATAATAAAGTCTTTTTGTTCCTTCTCTAGGAACACATACTCAAGAAAAGGGACTAAATACTCAAATAGATATTATCTTTTTTCCTTTTTAAATTATGTGCTCCTTGCTCCTCTCCCCACCACTCTTTTCAGCAAAAATTGCTCTTTATTTACCAAACACCTGTCTGAGTTTGGGTCTATGCTGAGCACAGTTGAGCCCAGTCTTTGCCCCTCGGAATGAACATACCCAGCAGGGGCACATGCCTAACTATAGCTCACGTAGATCCATGGCACATACTGGAACCTGATGACTTTTAGATAACAGCAAATCATAAGAACAGAATGGGTTGCCCATTCTATTCATGGCACAAAGATTCCTCATCTCACATCGTGACTGAGAGGTGTTGGCAAGTCAGAAGCTTTTTATAAATTCCAACAGTTGATTCTAGAAATTACACCCTGAGCATCAACACTGTCTTTCACATTGTTAGGTCTCAAACAGAGCCCAGCAGCTCCTGTGGATAGATACATTTCCTGCCGGCTGACAAAGAACAGAAGGGCCCATGCAGGCAGCCTCTACTCCTTGGCTACTGATGGTGGGTCACCCTTGCCTTGCAGAGCCAGGCACCACAGGACCCAAAGGGCCACCCCAGTTGTTGGTCTTGATTCAGGAAGTAGTATGGGGCATGTTCTAGGCTAAATCCCCCTGCACTGGACCCAGGGGGCACTCAGAAGAAAGGCAGTTCCAGGAGGGAGCTTTGACCTTTGAGCGAGGAAAGTATTCCCCTCACCTACCTTATGAGGACCAGTGTGCACCTGGGCCCAGATAGGGCATAGGAGGACTTGAGAAATCATGCCACCTGTGCAAATATACCCAGTCCAGACACAGCACCACTACTGTGGCCTCTGAAGCACCTCCAAGATGAAAAGAGATGTTTGACTTTTCCAATTTTAAGTCATGCATGATTAAAATTGAGTCTTCTACTCTCTCTGTCTCTCTCTGTCTCTCTCTGTCTCTCTCTGTCTCTCTCTCTCTCTCTCTCTCTCTCCTTCCCTGAATACTTGTATCATTTAATACACTCAGGAAACTTAAGAAGAAGGTAAGTATTATTCCTGTTGTACTGAGAGGTTAAGGGACTTGCCCAGAGCCACACAAATAATGGCCAGAATTTAAGCCCAGGTTTTTCTGTTTCCAACCTGCCCCATGCAGGGTGTTTTATCTGCTGTTCTAGAGGATCTCAACTCTGGTCATACAGGACAATAACCTGGGGAGAATGTAAATCAGATCCTCCGGGGATGGGTCCTCGGCAAGTGGTCCTAAAGCTCCTCTATGACTCCTCCACGCAATCAAGACTAAAAATCTCTGCTCTGGATAAGGTTTAGAGCAAAAGATCCTTTCCAGGACAGCCCTCAAGCCAAGATTTTCACAGTCCTGAGGAGGAGAAGTTGGAGAGGCCTTTTTCAAATGGGAAAGGACAGACCAAATAACCTTAAGATAACACAATGCCATCCCAGCCAGGTTGCTAACTTCACTGCTTAGGGCTCACCTAGGAGTGCATCCTCTGCCTCCTGTTGGAGAGGCAGGCTCCTGCTCCTCTGCTCCTCCTGCAGCAAGGCTCTTTCCTGTTTATACTGCCTTCCTAAGCACAAGCTCTACTGCACACCTCACCCACATGGCTTTGTAGACACTCCCTTACCTCCATTTGTCCCAAGCCTTCTTCTCAACAGCAGCCACCAGACCCCAGAGATGGTCTTAGCTGCAGCCCCCAGCTCCTAGGTGCCAAAGAAAGGTGCTGCAGGGTGCTGCCTGGGCACTGTGAGCCGAGACAGAGTTGCAGTGCCATCCAGTACCCCTTAGCCTCCCCTACTGTGATCCTGCCCCTTCAACCAAATCCTCCCAGTGTCTGGGAAGGAGGCCTAGCAGAAGAATACACATTCTGCACCAAAATTCCTATTGGCATCTCATTCCAACAGTGCGAGATATA